TTTTTTTTTTTTTTTTTTTTAACAGGCTCTTGCTAAGTCACCAAGTTGCACAGGCTGGGCTTGAACTTGCAATCCTCCTGTTCAGCCTCCCAGAGTGCTGGGGTGAAAGGTGTGCACCACCACGCCCAGCTGTCCAGGCACCTTTCGGGCTCTATCTTCAAAGTGTATACAGAAAGTGGCCACTTTTCTGTCCCAGTGCCCCCTGCAGAGCATGCTGACACTGACTGGCTCCCCAGAGGGACTCCCCAGGAGCCTCTGACAGTGCCTGCACCCTCATCCTCTGCCTCTGAAGTCTATTTCCAACCCAGAGTCTGGGATGGCCCCTGAAGGGGAAAGCAGCTTTCTTTCTTCCTTTGATCAAACTCAAGGAGAACCTAGCACAGTGTCACGGACCTGTAATCTGAGCACAGCATTTTGGGAGACAGAGGCAGGAAGATCTCAAGATCACATCCTGCCTGCTCACCTGGAGCCTGCTGTGATGCCAGGTCTGCTTTTTCTCTTCTCCACAATACCTGAGCCTTGTCACGAAACATAATGGTTTCTTCAGACCATTAGTTGAGCACTGTCTCTGACACCTGTCTACAGCTGCCCTTCATGCACACTTCCAGCTGAAACAAGGTCTCCCTCACACCAGACCCTCCCGCAGCTGTGCTCATGGATGTCCTGACCTAGAGCTGCTCGAACACTAGGGCTCAATCTATGCATATCCTCAAACTCTGGTGGCTCCATGGGCCTGTGACCTCCTGAGCGTGACTCCCCTCTGCAATACATGACTAGCAATGCCAGGCTTATAGCAAGTGAGGCCTTGTGGAAATCCCTGTAAAGCACTAATTCTACCATAACTAAAATGTGGAATATAGACCGCATGGAGTACTACACAGTCATCAAGAAGGACGTTTGAGTCATTTGAAGGAAAATGGATACACCTGGAGACCCTAATGTTTGGTAAAACAAATTCACACACAAGCTTAAATGTTGCATGGTTTCTCTCATGTGAGAAATCCAACATATAAACAACTAAGAGCAAAACAAAGAGTCCATGAAAGAAAAAGAAAGAGAGACAGTGTGGATGGAAGGAGACAGAGGGAAGGGAGGGGAAGGGGAAATAAAAGGAATCAAGGCGAGACCTGTACACTTCCAACTCCCTAAGATGTATTGCGAATGTATCCATACATACAAATGGATACACGTAAATACAAACATACAGCATAGACCTGTAAACAGATACATTTGCAGTCACACAAATGGACACATCTGTAGGCTCCCAAATGGATGTATTTTTGCACAAAGAAAAAAAAAATTCTCCAATACCTTAATATACTGAGGACAGTCTGAGGCTCAGAGGGACCTGCTAGGAAACTGCCTTAAATGCTGAGGTTGAGGAGGAACTGAAAAGTCCTCCCGGGCCGGATTCTCATCATTCAACTGGGAGGAGACACCAGAGGTCCCTGGCCTTGCTTCCCGATTCGCCATTACCTGAGAGCAGTCTGCAGGGGAGAGGGTGAGGGAGAGTCTCGCAGCCGGGCCCAGGGTCCTGCTCGGCCCACCCCTGGGCATTCAGAGGCTCTTCCTCCTTGGTGCGGGAGTGGAGGCTGGCAGAAGGTCGCCGGCACCAGGGGAACCGTGGGCCCTAGGAGCATCAGACTCGGCGGGGTGCGAGGTACCTGAGAAGGCAGAGAAGGCCACAGGCAGTGAGAGACAGAGAGGACCCGAGCCACGTCCCGTCACCCTCGTAGCTGCGGGCTCGGAGGGAAGGCTCCCACGAAACTGAGAAATCTTACCCCACCTCAGTACCTGCGCAGCACAGCACTGCAGGGGAGAAGGAACTGAGGTTCACCGAGGGCAAGAGCAAATCTACCAAGACATCCACACGCAATTCCCAGAGCACAAGCTGTCCCCAGCCTCCTGTGGCCCTCCCTACTTAGGACCACTCAGCCTTGCCTCCGTGAGGACTCTCCAAGAAGAGGCCCAGCCCCCAGAGTTTCCACAAAAGCAGCTCCCAGAGATGCAGCAGAATAAACCAAAACTGGCTTTCGGAAGTACAAAAGAAACTAGTGATTTGGTAACAGCCAAAGAAAGGCAAAGGCAGGAGTGGATGGAGGACCCTAAAAGACCCCTAGGGTCATGGGAGGAATGATCAGAGCCCAAACATAAATTCCACATTCTCGTGATTACATTAAGTGGTATAAACGTTGCAAGCAGAGGAAGAAATGGGTGGAATGGATAAAATTTACATGCTTTTACACTGAAACAATGCCAAGTGCAACAAAATCCTTAGAAACAGATTTAACAAAGGATATGCAAGGCTGGTACCCCGGAAACTTCCAAAATACCATTAAAGGAATCAAAGACCTAGAGAAATAGAAAAACAAAAACATTCCACGTCCATAGACTGAAAGGCTTGATATTGTTACAATAGCAGCATTCCCCAAATTGAGGTAATTAATTGATTCAGCATAATTCCCAGTGGATTCTGAAGGTCATTTCAAAGGCAGCTGGTGGCAGTCAAGAAGCGCAGGAGGCCGGGAAAGATGCTTCCAGGGTCCGTCTTGAATGGGGCCAGCGGTGCCATGCACACCCATGGGGGCCGGGCGCAAGCACAGGGCTCTTGAGTTGCCATGGTGACCGAGTGTGGGTCCACCATCCTCTGCCTGCTACAGCAGAAGCTCCTCTGGCCTGGGCATTGCAGGTGAAGGGTGAAATGGGTCCTCAGAGCCATGGTGCCTCCCAAGCCAGGCATCCTGACTCCAGCAGCACAGAAGCCAGCCTGGACAGCATCCTCTCCGGGAGCCCTGAGAACACAGTGGGAGTGCAGGCCCCAGGACAGGCCACTGTCACAGGGTCCTCTCCAGCCACTTTTAGGTTCAGCTTCCCAGAAGCAGGACCTGGATTTCGGGAAGGCTGGGACTGCTCCAGATCATGGCGAACGAGGAAGAAGTCCAACACACAGGGACAGGAGCATAGGACAGAAGGGGCAAGGAACCGGTCCACATTCTGCGAGGGGGAGAAGGACTTTTAAAGGTCAGGAACTAAAGGTCAGTTTCAAGGACAAGGTGTGGGGCTCAGAGAGCAGGAAGCCCGGTACAGATGTTAAAACCCCTGGGGAAACTGTAGGAAGGAGGAGCGGGGTAAGATGAAGATGGAGGTGTAGGAGAAACTGCGTCTCGGTTTTGGAAGGGTCTGGTGTGCAGAGGCAGGGGCGGCAAGGGAGGGACAGAAAGGAAGAGTCTGCGTGAGCTCCCCGCGATGGCAATGGCCAGGCAGGGCTGCGGGGCCTCTGCAAGAGGCCACCAAACAGCGACCTTCAGGGCCGGGCCGCGGGCAGAGAGAGAAGCCGGGCTTTCTGACACGGTGCAGAGAGGAGGCTGGTCCCACCTATGGCAGGCAGGGAAGGAAGACGCCTATGATTTGCATAGGCAAAAAGAAATGGCACAACACGGAACCATTCCTAGGAGGGCGTTTGTGAATATAACTCAACAGGCAGTTTCCCCAGAAGAATGCAAAGGAGGGAAAAAAATCTACCATTACTTTAGACTAAAAGGAATTTTCCTCTTGATATTTTTTCTCGTTGCTCCCCCCCTCCCCGCATTTCAGGTTTGTAGATAAAGATTGTTGATACAAAGCCTGGCGCGGTGGCGCATGCCTGTAATCCCAGCACTCCACTCGGGAGGCTGACGCAGGAGGATCCCTGTGAGTTCAAGACCAGCCTGGGCTACCTAGTAAGTTCCAGGTCAGTCTCAACTACATAGTGAGACCCTGTCTCAAAAAAAAAAAAATTGTTGATACAGTATACACTGCACGACGGCTGGCAGATGCTGAGTGTAACACATTAACCTCCGAACCGAAATCCCGCAGGGGCTGCTCTGTTTGCGTCAGGACAGACTCTCCCGTGTCCTTAGGAGCCCCTCTCCCTCTGGTGCGCGCTGAGTGGACGTTTGGCCTCTGTGCCCCCTGCCTGCCACCGTCCCCACAGACACGACTGGGGGGAGGCGCTTAGACCTCGCAGGCACCCACGCGGGAGGAAGCCCAGGAACCCGCTGCAGCTCTCTTTCCAGCCCCAGGAGGGGCTGCTTTTCCGGGATGCTGAGTCTGCGGATTCGATCAGGAATCACGTGATGCCGGCGGGCCTGTGACGGGGCCTTGAATGGAGGGCTTGTGCGGCTGTGATGAGGCCCTCAGTGTTTGTTCACACGGAGAACACCGGCAGCCTTGTGCGCCGGGACACAGGCCCCGCAGTCCTCGCTCACCAGTGGCTTTGCCTGTGGAGTTATTTCGCACTTGCCTCCCCCGGGGAAAGTAAAGCACACTCTGGCAGTGGAGAAATTTGTCAAATTCCAGCTCATTGGCTATTGGGTTTGTTTTGTTTTGTTTTTGGTATCAGGGATCGAACTCGGTCCTTGTGCTTGCCAGGCAGGAGGCGGCACCACTGAGCGACATCCCCAGCCCCGATTAGTTTGTTGTTGTTTTTAGCTCTTGCTTTGAAAGGATTTTAGCTAATTCTGCCACCATCCCTCATCCCAAGAAATCATGCACATAAGTAGAGCTGAGTCCTAGATAATTAGCTGCTCACAAAGCACCAAATGATTTACCCAACAAGGTACTAAATCACGGGAAACCTCAGAAGGGCGTTGTAGTAGAGCCATTACCCCAAAAAGTAACAGCGCATTTGCAGCAGTGACATAAAGTGCACCCAGTTAGAATTTAGAAAGCAATTCCTTCGGCTATTTAACTTGGCAAAAGAATGAGATAGATTTATTTTTGCCGATAAAAGAAAAAAAAATCTCCAAATATTTTACACTGAAAAGTGGCAGCAGTGAATGCCTTGGGTTCAGGAGACTGAAGGCCAGTGAGGGACAGAGATTTGCACTCTAAATTTTCATGCTGTTAAGACATTTGACTTTTTAGTGTATTGGATGCAAGGTAAAATCCATCAAGGTAAAATCCACATACTCTACAATTAACCGTTTTAGCCAGGCATAGAGGTGCACACCTGTAATCTCAGCACTCTGGGAGGCTGAGACAGGAAGGTGGCAAGTTCCAGCCCAGTCTAGGCAACTGAGACGCTATCTCAAAATTTAAAAAAATACTAATAAGCGGGCTTCAAACATAACTCAGTGGAAAGATCAATCATAGTTCATTTTTAAAAAACCTTAAATACAGGTAACATTTCTTGGAAAAATTCATCAGTCATTATTTTTCAAATGTGTCTAGATGCATGGTAGCTGTTGGGTCCCACAGATGCCACAGGATGAAGGAGGCCTTGCAAAGCACAACCTGAATAATTAATTCTTACTTAACAGAGCAAAAAGTCAGTGGGTGTGGTGGTGCACGTCTGTCATCCCAAAGGTCTGGGAGGCTGAGGCAGGAGGATCACAAGTTTGAGTTCATCCTGGGTAACTTAGTGAGACACTTCTCAAGTTCTTCATTAAAAAGGGAGGAGGAGCTTGGGGTGGGTG